AGTCCCGTCGCGGGACCTTCGCGCCCCCGCCCCGATACACCCATCGTCTTTTGCAAAGTCGATCCCGACTGGACACCGGACACCACTCAATGGACGTGGGACAGCTCCTGGCCGAATCAGAAGCACCTCTCTGGCGAGGAATGAATGAACGTAGGGAGGAACGCGCGCAAGGAGTGGTTCGACGAAGAGGAGGACGACGGCGTAGATTGGGAGTTGTATGGAGATGGTGAGCAGTAAGTAGTCGAATGGGACTTCGACTCTGGTAGGGGGGTAATGAAACATTTGTCTTTCCGTTCTATTCCTTGTACTACTAGCGCCCATACTGGCGCCTGTCTTAGCGCTCACCCGCAGGTTGAACATTATGTAGCTTACATAATGGGGTCCGTGCGCACTTCGTGCCTGGTATCGTACCACTACGTTTCTTTCTTCACTAACACGACCACATAGACACGATGGTCCGTGCGTAGTCGGTACTTGTATAAGTAGTTGTACCATTAGTTGGTCGAACCCTAAGTTCGACCTAGTTATTCATTCAAGTCTCTGCTCCTCTTCGCTTGGGGTAGTGGTCATTCTCGACTTCCTCGCTCGATCTTCAGGACGACGCACTGTCCATAAGTCCTCGCTCGTCGTCTACGAGTCAGGCATCAATATAGGAGTGTAGACCGTTGTATCAGGCCATGCCTCGGTGATGGCTGATCAGTCGCTTCTGAAGCACATCAGGGAGTGTTCGGATAAGGATCGGGTTGTGGCCGAGGCACTTGAAAAAGTGCAGAACCTCGGACCGCCTAGGCTGCAGAAAGGCTTTGAGGAGTGGAATGCCGAGCAAGGGCTTCTGCTGTTCCGTGGGATGGTCTATGTCCCAAAGAACACGGAGCTCCGGCGGGACATTGTCAAAATCCACCACGACTCGCCGATTGCCGGACACGGCGGTTGTGCCAAAACCCTCGAGCTCGTATCGCGGAACTACTGGTGGCCAGGAATGTCCAAATTCGTCAATGAGTACGTAAGCACCTGTGACGTGTGCAACCGTACCAAGACATTCCCAGCTAAGCCCCAGGGTCCACTGAAGCCGAACGAGATCCCCGAGCGCCCGTGGCAGATCATCACGACCGATATGATCGTTGGCTTGCCAAAGTCTGATGGATTCAATTCGATCCTGGTTACCGCCGACCGCTTTACCAAGCAGGTCCACTTCTCGGCCTGTCATGAGACCCTGACGGCAGAAGGTGCGGCAGATCTGTACATCCGCGACGTGTTCAAGCATCATGGGGCCCCGGCCAAGGTCATATCAGACCGAGGTCCCCAGTTCGCTTCAAAGTATCTCCATGCGGTGTACAAGGGCCTAGGGATCGAGCCGGTGCTGTCCACAGTGTTCCACCCTCAGACGGACGGCCAGACCGAGCGCTGGAATCAGGAAATTGAGCAGTACCTGCGTGCTTTCACAAGCCACAGGCAGGATGATTGGGCAAAACAGTTGCCGCTTGCAGAATTCGCGCTGAACAACCGAGTTCATTCCGCAACCGGGCATTCCCCTTTCTTCCTGCATCAAGGGTACAATCCTGAAATCCAGGTTCGGATCAATCCGATGTCTGCGATGCCCGCAGCCGCTGATCGGCTCAAGATCTTGAGGGAGATTCGCGATGATACGCGCTCTGCACTCGAGCTGTCAGCCGAGCGCATGAAGGTGTACTACGATAAGCACGTGCAGGAGGCACCAGTCTTTGCGCCGGGGGACAAGGTCTGGCTTGATGCCCGGAACCTTAAGCTGAAACAGCCGAGCAAGAAGCTCAGTCCCAAGCGCCTTGGACCCTATGCCGTGCGGCGAAAGCTCGGAGACTTAGATTACGAATTGGTTCTGCCGAAGTCGGTGCCTGTGCACCCGGTGTTCCATGTCTCCCTGCTTAGCAAGTACACGCGTAGCGATATCCCGGGCCGAGAGCCAGAGGAGCCGCCTGCAATCGAGGTTGAGGGCGATGAGGAGTATGAGGTGGAGCGGATCAAGGATTCGAGGATCTTCCGGCGTCAGCTACAGTACCTCGTCAAGTGGAAGGGTTATGATGACTCGCATACGTCATGGGAACCGGCGCGCAACGTTGCGAATGCGCCGGCCCTCATAGCCGACTTCCACCGGAAGAATCCGAACGCCCCTCGCCGCCTCAATGCCACTACATTTGGTGGTCTCAACTTTCAGCCGATGCCTTCACCGCTGACTGAAGCACGACGCCGCTCCAGGTGGGAGATGGGCAAGGGCGCCTCGCATGAGGTCATGCGCCGTTGAGGGGGGGGTAATGTCACGAGTTGGTACGGCATCTAGCCATTTTTAATTTTTTCCTTTTCGCGGGCTCGAACCCGCGACCTCTGTACTACATGCCTGATATGGATGCATCACTATCTACTGTATGATTAGATTAGATGGGGCGGCAGTGTGCGGCACAGCTCGGGCTCCGCTGACACAGCCGCTGTGACTCACCGGCCCCCGGGGCCGTGTCAGCATGCTGTGCACGGACCAGCTGTGCACGGACCAATGCGCACAGCCTCCCCTAAACTTCCCCTGTATATAAGCCTGCCTCTGCTGCCCTAGGGACCTCAGTTTCGACCTCTTGTCCCTAGCCTTAGGTTTGAGCCTCGCTCACCATCGCTTCGGTAAGACAAGTTGAACGCCCCCAGCTTTAGGTTTTCCCCTGTCGCTTGACCCTAAGTCG